GCGGTGATGGGGGCAGGAATTAAACGCAAATTTGCTCTCATACCCAAGAAATCCGACGCATTTAACTCCCGGCATCCCGAACGGAGCCCGAGCCTCGCTCCCGCTGCTCTCCCAGCTCCGCAAACCCCCCCGCCTCGCATGGATTTGGGTTAGAAATGATTAATTTTTGTAAAGGTAATTAATCTCAAGGATGATTTGCCGAGCGCTGATAGGTGACACTTCCATCCCCAGCGTGTTTAGCACGGAAAAAAATAAAAGATATTTTTCATGGAAGCAGCTTGTGGTTGCGAGATGGGGGGACAAACTCCCCTCCCGAACCCGCTTTATATTTAATAATTAACATTATTAACATGATTAACCCGGGATGTGTGTATGTATGGGGGAGACATTGCACATTCCGTGTGTTTTTTTTCCAGCTCATTCCATGCAAAATCCTCTCCCGTGCTGGTCGCGGTTGCAAAACTCGCCGCGGTTGTGTCGCCGTCCCTGGATGACCTTTAAGTAGGGAAGCAAAACAAATAAAAAACCCAAATTCCGCTGCTCCTTCCCATCCCCCCGGTTCTCTTTCCTCACGGGGCCGGTGTGACCCCCAAATTCTCTGGGTTTAGATCCCTTCCTGTGAGTTTGGAGCGGATTTTTCTTGGTTTTTAGTGGGGGTGTGAGGTTTTCCCGGGTGTTATCAGTGTGCCCTGGCTCCCATGAGTGTGCAAATGAGTGTGCAAGGGGCTGCACTGAATGCCCACGTCCCCTCAGGAGCAGTGGCTGCTCCTTAAAAATCCCCCTGCATCATTTTAATCGTGTATTTTTTCATATGGCTTTGCCCAAAACTCCCCCCTTCCTAACCATTATTTGGATTTTTCGGGAATTACTAATTGTTCTTGTTCCATCGCATCGCAAAATCTTCCACGCTGGAGTAAAAAAAACCAACAGGATATCCTCCTCCTGGGACCTTTTTTTTTTTCCTGTTGTTGCTGATTTGATTTTAGAGAATTCATTAGTTTGGCTTGATGCATGAAACAATCAGCGTGCCAAAATCCTCCTGCACTGGGGTAAAATAACTTGAAATTCCCTTCTGGGACGCTTTTTTTAGTATTATTTAGAAGGAATTATGAATTCCTTGTTTTTCATGAGGCAGCAGTATCCCAAAATCCTCCATGCTGGAGTGAAAAAAGTTGAAATTCCCTGCTGGGCCACTCATTTAAATATCTTTATATCAATATTTTGGTATTATTATTTTGCTTTTAAAGGGATTATTCATTCCTTTGATCCATGAGGTGGATCTCAAAGTCCTTCCAGGCTGGAGGGTGAAATAAAAAGGTTAAAAATAGAGTTGTAAAGCCAAAGGCAGCGGGTTTGGGGGGCCCCTGGTGCCCCCCCAGATCCTCCTCAGAGCGTCCTGGCTTCCGTGTTGGAGCTGGAGAGGAAGCAGGAAGCAGCCAAAAAGAAAACAAATATTATAAATTTATTAAAAACCTGTCTTTCCTATCACATAGAGCAATCCTTAATGGATGAAACCAGGAGTTTGGGGTCTAGCCATGCTTAAATAAATTTATTTTATGGAAATAAGAGGGAATTTGTCCCCAAAATTCCTGATAAAGATAATTTTTCCTGCAAGGAGTTAAGAAAAAAAAAAAAAATCTCCCCACAGCCCCACGTGAGGTTTGGCAAAGCTGCCCTTAAAAATCGACTTTTCCCTTTATTTAATTATTTCCCCCCCCCCCCCTTAAAGTTGCCTTTAATGGCGAAGTTCAGGCTGAAAGGATCCGGGATCCGAGCAGGGCAGCGAGTTTGGGCTGGGGAGGGAGGGGAAGGAGCTGACTCACCCTGACCCTGCTGGGGATGAGCCTCCAAAATGCCATTTTCCTGCCAGCTTTTCCTTTTCCTATGCCCAAACTGCTGGAATGCAATGAAAATACAATTTTTTTTGCTGAAATTTAATTTATTTTTTTGGGCTTTTTTTAAGCCTTTTTTCCTAAATGTTAAAATGAAAAAAAAAATTATTTTTTTTTATTTTTTTTTTTAGATTTTTAAATTGTGTTTTTTAATTTTTTTTTTTTTGCATCAAGCTGTTGTTACCTCTCACCTTCCTGGAGCAAAGTTCACGTGGCTGCCGCATCCCCATCCCCACAGCCGTGACTCACCTGGGCCTGCCCTACCCTGCCAGCTCCTGGGGTGCCCTTTAGCCAGGAAAAAAATCAAATTCAGCACCCAAAAACAACGGGAAATCACCCCAATCCCCCACAAACCCACTCGTTTTTTAATAAGGTTTCCCCAAGCAACAGGTGCTTTTAACATCCTGGTTTTTTTGAGATTTGTTGGAATTTTTAGGGCTTTTTTTGTGCTTTTTTTTTTTGGGGACACCACCAAATTCCCAACCACGGGGGTGTTTTCTCCTCTACTCCAAAGCACCAACCAAATCCAAGTGCCAAAACCTCCCTGATTAGTTGTGTTGGGGCCAAGCCTAATTAATGAGCTTCATTAACGGGCCTGGCTTCATTCCCTTTGCTTTTCCCCTGGGAACTTTCACGCGGAGGGAGGAGAGTGGCAAGGTCAGGGAGCAGCATTAAAATCCTTTATTTATGAAAAGAAAGATGAGATTGGTTCTTAAATATTAAAAATATCCTTTTTGGGGAGGGAGCTGGAGTCACCTGCGCTGATTTAGCCGGGACCTGAGGTGTCGATCCTTTGGGAATATCAATCCTTGGGGTGACACGTTGGTGTTTAGGGAGAACCCCCCTCAGCACCCCCCTAAATTCAAGGGGTTTATCAATTTCACGTGGCTCGTCCCAAAGCTGATTAGGCGGGAATGTCGGACCCTGGTTCGAGCGGCCGGGAAAATCTCAAATCTCCTGCCTGGGATAATTGGGCCGCTAACGAAGGTGGCCCGAGCGCTGGCCTGCCCTGACCCCGCTCCCAAACAAGGCTCTGATTGTTGCCGTGGCTCGGGCGGGAGGAAGAGGAGGCTGGGGAAGGAAGGCTTTGCCAGCTAACCCGGGTTTTGCTCAGTGACTCTTAATTAGACAGCCATGGGAAGCTGTTGTTGGTGCAGCTCCCCGGAGCATCCTGCTGGCCCAGACCCCATGGTCACCTCCAGGGCTCAAATTCCCGGAATCCCCATACCATGGGTTGTTTTAACCCTCCCAAAATGACATTTTTAATAATTATTTTTTCCCTCTTAGCACCATAAACAGTGAGTTTTCTCTTTGGTTCTGAATATTTGTACTCGCCGCCGTCCCAGTGCCCTGGTATTGCTGTTCTGGGGAAAGAGAACTGTGGATTTAACCCCTTTTTCCTTGTTTTTGTCCTGTATTGCTCTACAGGGGAGGGAGGGCTGTGAGGATCTCAGATTTAACCCTTTGTCCCATGCAGTGCCCTGGTATCGCTGTGCTGGGGAGACAGAACTGTGGATTTAACCCTTTTTCCTTGTTTTTGTCCTGTGCACTGCCCTGATATTGCTGTGCTGGAGGAGACAGGGCTGCAGGGATCCCAGATTTAACCCCTTTTCCCTGTTTTTGTCCTGTATTGCTCTACAGGGGAGGGAGGGCTGTGAGGATCCCAGATTTAACCCTTTTTTCCCTGCTGGGGAGGTAGAGCTGCAGGGATCCCAGATTTAACCCTTTGTGCCATGCAGTGCCCTGGTATTGCTGTGCTGGAGGCGTCAGGGCTGTGGGAATCCCAGATTTAACCTCTTTTTCCCAGTTTTAGTCCTGTAATTCTCTGTTGGGGGGCACACAGCTATGGGGATCCCAGATTTAACCCCTTTTCCCTGTTTTTTTTCCTGTGCCAGATCCCAGATTTAACCCTTTGTGCCATGCAGTGCCCTGGTATTGCTCTGCTGGGGAGACAGGGCTGCAGGATCCCAGATTTAACCCTTTTCCCCTGTTTTTATCCCATGCAATGACCTGGTATCACTTGGTTGGGGATACAGAACTTCAGGATCCCAGACTTAACCCTTTTCCCCCCATTTTTGTCCTGTGCAATGCTCTGGGCAGCAGGGATCCCAGATTTAACCCTTTTCCCCTGTTTTTATCCCATGCAGTGCCCTGGTGCACTCTGCTGGGGATACAGAGATTCAGGATCCCAGATTTAACCCTTTTCCCCCCATTTTTGTCCTGTGTAATGCCCTGGGCAGCAGGGATCCCAAATTTAACCCTTTTCCCTGCCCTGGGCTGTGAGGATCCCAGATTTAACCCCTTTTTCCCTGGTTTTTGTCCTATGGAGTGCCTTGGTATCGCTGTGCTGGGGGTACAGGGCTGCAGGATCCCAGGTTTAACCCTTTTTCCCTGTTTTTATCCCATGCAATGCCCTGGTATCATTCTGGTGGGGAGATAGCCCTTCAGGGATCCCAAATTTAACCCTTTTCCCATTTTTGTCCCGTGTATTGCTCTGCTGGGGGAGACAGGGTTGTGGGGGGGTCCCAAATTTAACCCTTTTCCCCCCGTTTTTGTCCAGTGCAGTGCCCTGGGCTACAGGGATCCCAGATTTTACCCTTTTTCCCCCTGTTTTTGTGCAGTGCAGTGCCCTGGTATCATTCTGGTGGGCATACAGGTCTGCAGGGATCCCAGATTTAACCCTTTTTTCCTGTTTTTATTCCATGCAGTGCCCTGGTATCATTCTGGTGGGGAGGCAGGGCTGCAGGATCCCAGATTTAACCCTTTCCCCCCCATTTTTGTCCTATGCAGTGCCTTGGTATCACTTTGCTGGGCATACAGGTCTGCAAGATCCCAAATTTAACCCTTTTTCCCCCCGTTTTTGTGCAGTGCCCTGGTATCACTCTGCTGGGGATACAGGCCTGCAGGATCCCAGATTTAACCCTTTTCCCTGTTTTTATCCCATGCAGTGCCCTGCTATCACTCTGCTGGGCATGCACGTCTGCAGGGATCCCAGATTTAACCCTTTTTTCCCCATTTTTGTCTTATGGAGTGCCTTGGTATCGCTGTGCTGGGCATACAGGCCTGCAGGATCTCAAATTTAACCCTTTTTTCCCCGTTTCCTGGCAGATGACGGCTCGCCTGATGCTGGCTGTGGGAGGAGCAGTGCTGGGCTCCCTGCAGTTCGGGTACAACACCGGCGTCATCAACGCCCCGCAGAAGGTGAGTGCTCGTGCTCGCAGAGGGAAATTCCAGCCTCCCCCAGCTCGTGTGTGACAACAAACCAGCCTCTGTGCCAGCCTGGCTAAAATAGTACATCCCACTAGGCAGCTTAGGGCTCTAATGGGATTTCAGAGGGAGTTATTTAGCTCCAGCCTTCCCTGGAGAATTTGTTTTCTCCTCCTTGCTTGGTGTTTTTTTTTTTTGTTGGGGGAAATAAATCCCAGCATTGCCTGCAGGATGCTGTGTCTGGGTGTGGCCAGTGGAACTTTTCACCTCGGCTCTCTTAGTGAAGGTCTGGGAGTTAATGAAGGTTTGAGTCATCCCCAAGTGGCTGCTCTGACCAGAGCTGGGGGTTTTGCATCCCAGCTGGCAGCAGGATGGATGCAGGAGTGTTGGTTCCTGCCCTCGTGTGCAACCAGGACCCTCCTGCTGCTGGTAGATGCTGGTGGTCCATGGAAATGTGACTTTTTCTAGATTTGGTGGCTTTTACAGCCACCTGCTGCTGGTAGATGCTGGTGGTCCATTGAAAACTTTTCCCAGATTTGGTGGTTTTTATAGCCAGGACTCCCTGCTGCTGATAGATAATGGTGGTCCATGGAAAA